GCCTCCCTCCACTGCTGGGCTCTGCTGCTGATTTACAGTCGCCGTTCCCTGTCCTCAGCGGAAAGAGCTCAGAAACAAAATTACTGTTTAAGTACAGCTTCCCTGCAGCGATCCACTGGGGAGGCCCAGTGTCTGTGTGGAGCCGGTCACCCTGCCCGGGGACTCTGTGCCCTGCTCCGCTGCTTTGCGCCCCAGGGGTACTGCGGCTCCATTTATTCACCCCACAAGTGTCCCCCCTGGGTACTGAGGCAGGCAGGCAGCACAGCCGTAAACGAAGCCAACCCAGCCCCCACCCTCGGGGAGCTCGCAGTCTGTTGGGGGAGACGACCACAGACAAACGCGCACAAACAGGAGTGGTCAGGTGCAGCGAAGGGTAGTGGGGAAATGACGCTGGGTGCAGGGGTAGGAAGCACAGGGGAAGGTCAGGAGGAGGGTCCGGGACAGCCTCTCCACTCGGGAAGCTGGGGCAGGGAGGGATGCCCAACTCTGTGGGAACAGGCATAAGGAACAGCACGTGCAAGAGCCCTGAGGCGAGAACACACTGGCTGTGTGAGAAGGAGGTCGGTGTGGCTGCATCTAAGTGGCCGAGGGGAGAGGGTGGCAGGTGTGATCAGAGAAATGGGGGGGGGGGTTAGGCAGTACCTCCCCCTGGAGAGTGAGGGCCCAGAACTGGGGGCTGAGGCTATCGAGGGGAGCCCGGGAAGGAGGGCCCCTCACCCGAAGCATCTATGCATCCATTCACCACATTCATTCACACGTTCATTTCTTCAGTCTTTCATTCCCCCTCATCATTCATTCGCATTCGTTCAGATTCTCTCACTTTAAAATTTATCATTCGTTCCTTTACCACCCATTTCTCACGCATTCAGCATCCTGTATTCATTCACTAGGTGTTTTGTGAACCCCCACTCTACCGCCCCCCAGGGGATGAGTCAGACCCCTGCTTGCCTACCTTCCAGGGGTCCCTAGTCTGGGGTGGGGGGCAGCTGGGGTGTTATTCTGCCTCCAGGGAAGCTCCCCAGCCCTGGTATCCCTGGCTGGGCCCGTCTGTGGGCAGCATGTGGGGGCACTTTGGCTAAGTGTGGACAGCGTCTGGGCACGGCAAGACCACGTCTGTGCGGACCTGGCCACGGGCATTTCCTTGGGGAGTGCCAGGCCTGAGGGTGGCTGCCCTGGACCTGGGAGTCCAGAGGAAGTGGGAGCAGGGGCTGGAGGCTGGGTCTAGGGCTGGACACTTCTTAGCCCTCGTGCGTACTCTGATCACCCTGTGTGACAATTGCCAGCGTATCACCTGGCCCCCAGTGCAGGGCCAGTTTCACCATCGGTCATCATTCTCTCCCCTGTGCCCAGCCCGAGGCCTGTCACATGGACTCAGTCAATATCCGTGAAGGAATGAATGATGGACAGCACAGTTCCCTCCCTCGCGGGCCAGAGGGCCCCTGCACCACCCCAAATGGGGCATTCCTTATCTATCTGCCCCCTCGATTTGAAAGCTACCGGGCTGCCTCATCCTGGGCCCAGCACAGCAGGGTTGAGACAGCTGCTGGACAGTGGTGGCATGCCCAGGGGCCAGCCTGGTCTGAACTTGTTACCTCGGGGAGAAGACGCTCTGGGGACACAGCTGAGGAGCCTGTCAGCCCCTGCTGGGCAGCACGAGCCCTCCCTCTCTGCCCTGCCTCCCAGCCCATCTTACAGGTCTCCCTGGGCTGTCTCCTCTGAGAAGCCTCCCCTGACCACCCAAACCCATCTATTCCTTTGTGGCTCCCACGATGATCCGTCACTGCCTAGCTCATCAGTTTGATCCCTGGGGCACTGTCTGTCTCTGATTCTCCGGGAAGCCCCACGAGGTTGTGGAATACCCTGTGCCGTGCCCACCCCAGTGCCCAGAACAGGGCGGGCCCGGAGCCCAGAGGAGGGCAGGAAGGAGACGCCAGGGGAACGGAGAAGAGCACAGGCTCTGGGCCAGGCACACTGGGGTTTGAACCCAGGCTCTGCTGCTGTGTCTCGGGCCAGAGCCTGCCTCCGGCTGGACCTCAGCGTCCCTGTCTGCACTTACCTGTGTGGGTGGTGCCGTGAGTTCAGTCCTGGCTCCCACTGTCCTTGCTTAGGATGGCGCCCTGCAGGGCCATCGCAATGCAGACAGCTGGGCTGGGGCCGAGCAGCAGGGTCCCGGGGGCCATGGGTAGCCAGTCACTGAATTCCCCCTTCCACGGTTCCCCACAGCCTTGGAAGACCCCCTGCTCTGCCTGCCTGTCTTCTGAGCAGGTGGAGTCTCCCCACTTGATAGAAGGGAAAACTGAGGCCCAGGCATGCAAACTTAGAGCCTTGGAGCCAGACAGGGCATCGTGAGCAAGCACCTAGACCAATGCTCTTGCTGACCAGATGGGGAAAATGAGGCATCCCAGAGGGGCGGGGCCCACGGGTGCCACTGTGAGTCCAGGCTGGCCGAGGCTCCTTCCCAGGCCTCCGGGGCAGGGCCCCAAGTGCTGGTGCCCCAACCCGGGGCCCAAGGAGGCCGTGGAGCTGTCAGGCAGGATCAGCAGGGTCCTGGCCCGATCTCCCCAGATTTAATTAACAGGCCTTTCATCTCTGTCTTGAAAAAAACCCACTATCTTCTGTCTTCTTAATTAATGTTCACTAAGCAAATCAGAGCAGGGTTTTTCTCCTGCTTTCTTTCCTAGGTTTTAACTCTTGGTAGGTGGACTGTAGGGAGGGGTTTATGCCAACTTTGCTACAGCTCCACACCAGAGGCCGAGCCTCTGCAAGGAACCCCCCGTCCCCAGTGTAGGCACATCCCTCATCGGCCACGCACAGACACCGGCTCCCTCCTCCTGCACTGCCTCCATGCTGGTCCCCAGGGTTCCACCCCGACCCATCTTCCGGGAGCAAACCAACACGGGTTCTGCTGCCCCAGCCTTCCTGGGCTCCCTGCCACCACAAGGACAATGGGTTTGGACAATGGGCAGGCTGTGGGGTCGGGCTTTAAAACTACAGAGAAACCGAGGCCAGCGGGCCGGCCCATAGCTTCCTCGGCCCTGCAAAGACATGGGTTTCAGGTTCTATGTGTGCAGAGCGGGCCTCTGGCTGCGAGGCATACACGCCTGGGGTCGGGTGGGTCCAGCTGGAAAGTGACTCAGAGCCTTCTCTTGATGGAGACCGGGCATCATGCACCTTATTGCCCAGAGTCCCAAATGGTGACTTCCAGTTCTCCTGGCTCATTCCAGGCCCCTTTCCTGCAGTTACAGAAGTGCTTGTTGTCCGTTGTCCCGCAGGTCTGGGAGTTATCCTGAGACTTTGTGGGTGCACAGACACTCCGGTGCCTTCCTGGCATTTATGGGTCCCATGCCCTCCCTGACTCCCTTCCTGGGAGGAGCTGACCGCAGGGGTAAGAGAGGCCTGGTCGCATCCTGCTGTGGATGTGTCCTCAGTAAACCACTTCCCCTCTCTGGGCCTCAGTTTCCCCATTTGTATAGCCAGTGCCCTGGACGATGATGCTTCTGGTCTCTTGTGCATTGGCTGTGCACGGATGGCCAAGGTGTCCTTGGTCGCCAGGGGGCAGAAGGGCCAGTCCTGTAATGTGGCCAATGTCGCCACCTGCTGTTAGATCCTGTGTGAACATCACCGCTGCACGTGGAGCCCTGGGCAGAGACTGGGAATGCAGCAGGCTCAGGGGAACCCACAAGGGGACCTCCCGCAGATCCTAACCAAGGCGCCAGCAGAGGTCGGATGGTCCCCCTGGAGGGCTGCTGCCAGGGGCTGGGCAAGGTCGGCGGGCACCTAGCTCACACCTCTTGAAGGAGCCACGATCTCCAGCCCAGCCCCTATCGGATCCGCCTTTGCCAGCCTATTTCCCAGACCTCCCCTGAACTACTCTCAGTGCAGGCTGTGGGGACGCCGGGGTGAGGCACATGAGGTCCCTGCCACCATGAACTCACAACCCTCACCTCCTGCACACCCTCTATAGGACGAAGCCTCAGCTCATCACCATGGCGCCCAGAACCCCACATCACCTGGCCTCTGCACCCTGCTCCAGCCTCACCACCACCCCCAGCCTCACCCTCCAGGACCACCTTCCACCCACAGCTGCAAACATGCAACAGACTTACCTACCCATTCCCACCTGGCTTTGCACACTCTACGCCTCCCGCCAGAGCCTCCCTTTCCGCCTCTCATCCTTTGTTACTGTTTCCATGTCATCTCTTCTGGGAAGCACCTTCCAACTCTAGGCAGAACTAGCCACGTCCCCCTCCCTGCCCCCACAGTGCAACCATGTGCCACTCTCTGTTCCATCCTATCAGCCTGCTCATTAAAACCCGTGCTGAATTGTATCGTGTTTTCTCTAGCATCTCTTGATAAGAACATATGGCTTCCCTCCTTGGATTTACTAACTTTCATAAATGGAGAGTGAAAAGAGGCATCTGCTGGGGAGGCAGGGGAGGCCTCTCCGTGATGTTTGTGGGGGACGAGGTACCTTCTTCGGTCACGAATACCGGGTGAGAACATCTCCCCGTGAGAACAGGGAGGCCAGCAGCAGAAGCACTTCTCAGAGTCAACGGAGCCGAGGACACGTGAGGAGCCACCCACGTTACTGCTAGAAAGAGGCGTGCGAAGCCCAGGGGAAGACCCTGAGGTCCCCTTTTGGCTCAGGACCCAAGGGGACAGGGGAGCAGTTTCCCTCTAGGGAGCAGCCCCTGAAACCTCACAACAGCGCTGATGCAGCCGTATCACGATCAACCCCGGTTTACGGACAGAACTGGGAGGCGCAGAGCCAGGGACCCCCGGCAGCCAGGGACCCCCAGCAGCCAGGGACCCCCAGCAGCCAGGGCGCGGCTTCCCCGGCCGCGGCAGAGCGGGCACTCCCGGGCGCGTCCGCCAGGTGGGGTCAGCGCCCAGGGACGGAGCGGCCCGCCCGCCGGGGGAGGCGGGCCCTGGGCCCCGGTGCGCGCCCCGAGCCGAGCCGGAGAGCCGGGCGCAGGCCGGGAGGCGCGGTGCTGCGGGCCATGGCGGCGGCGCTCCTGCTGGGCCGGGCGCTCCCGGTGCTCCCGATGCTCCCGGTGCTCCCGGTGCTCCCGGCGCTGCTGGCGCTGCTGGCGCCGCGGGCGGGCGCGGGGCTGGCTGCGTGTTACGACGGCGCGGGGCGCGCGCAGCGCTGCCTGCCCGAGTTCGAGAACGCGGCGTTCGGCCGGCTCGCCCAGGCCTCGCACACGTGCGGCCGCCCGCCCGAGGACTTCTGCCCGCACGTGGGCGCGCGCGGGGGCGGCGGGGCGCAGTGCCAGCGCTGCGACGCCGCGGACCCCCGGCGCCACCACAACGCCTCCTACCTCACCGACTTCCACAGCCAGGACGACAGCACCTGGTGGCAGAGCCCGTCCATGGCCTTCGGCGTGCAGCACCCCACCTCTGTCAACATCACCCTCCGCCTGGGTAAGCGGGGTTCGAGGGCACCGCCAGCTCATCCTCTGTCCCCACCCCGTGGCAGGTCAGAGGCAGGAGGCTGCTGCGTACCCCGGGGTGGCTGTAAAACCCAGAAATGGGGGCTCAGGAGTGGGACCTGTGCCTCCGGGAGCTGAGGATTGACTGACAGGTGGTCCTTTGGGCTGGAGGGGGGACGTCTCCATGGAGCCCGTTACAGAGCAGTGGATCTGGGTGCAAAGACCATGCCCAGTAAGGGTGGTTGTGGGGAGGAAGGGGGGGTGATCTCCTAGGGGGTGAACGACCCTCTCAGGCAGGAGCCTAATCTCGGGTCATCTGGTCCACCTCGGGGCCTCTGGACTCCCCGAGGCTGTGTGCAGTCCTTGGGTGTGTTCCGGAGTAGGAGCCAAGGCATTCATCACGGGGAAGACTTAGTCCCCTGGGCAGAAGCCATGCTTCATGCTGTTGGGTAGCTGGACCAGATGACATGGCTTCTCTGCTCTGCCCATGCCCCCCTCCACCCAACCCCGTGCCAAGATGCAGGAGCCCCAGATCCCTGGGAATCAGAATGGAGTCTGGACCCAACACTTCGCTCCCAGACCCTCCCCCATTGTGGGGCTGGGAGTGCTCCTTCCCCCTCCAAGTCCAGCCCCATCAGGTCCTCCTGGACCCTGTCGATGTGCCCGGCACTGCACTGAGCATCTGACCTGTTGCAGCCCTCCACAGCCTTTTCGGAGAGCGGGGGTTCCCACCGGTCCACCTTTCCTTACCTGTGGGTCCAAAATCCCCCTAACCTTTGAAAATTCGAAGTATTTTATAACTTACTTTGGCTGCTAAGTGTGACCGCAGGCTGCTTGTAGACCTTGTGTATTCTACCCAGAGTGAACTTTCATGTATTTTGCTTCTGAAATCTCCTTGGAGTACAGCCTGCGGCCCCAGACCCAGCTGGAATGTGAACGTAGTCCGTGCTGTGAGCACTGGGTCGTCTGTCTAACCTCTGAAAAGTTGGGAATTGCAAAACACATCTGGAACCAAGCAGTTTAGAGAAGGGATTATGGGACTGCACCCCATTTTTCAGATGAGAACTTTGAGGCCCAGAGAGATCAGGTGCTTTGCCCAGTGGCACACAGCTGCTAAGTGGCAGTCTGGATATGAACATCTGTGTGCAATGAACCCAAGATCAGAGCCAAAGGTCCTTGACATGAGCTCTGTCAATGGAGCAGCTCTTCTTGGCCCTGGGGGACAGCGCCTTGGGGAATGACTTTCCAGTGAGGTGGGGGACACTGGGCCCCCTCAGCAGAGCATGCGGTGCTGGCTGCTGACTCAAGAAGCTCATTTCCCTGGACCTTGTCACCTTCCCTTGGCCTGTCAGGACCTCGAGGTGGGACTTCTAGATGGGCGTGGTCTCTACCCACACAGGGGCGACAGGAAACCAATGGGGGAGGAAGGCTGGGGGAGCTGGCTGGACAGGGCTGGCAGGACCCCAAGGCCACAGAGGAAGGAATCCGGGGTGGGGGTTGTGGAGGAGACATGCTGTTCCATGACAGAGGATGCGGGTTTGGCTGACATGCTACACGTGTCGGTGGAATCCAGGGGTGGGCAGCAGGCTCAGCCCAGGCACCGGCAAGGTGGGAGAGGCGGGGAAGGGTCTGGATTTGGGGGCAGGTGCCATTTCCCCAGTGTGGTTATGTGCCGGGCCCCGTGCTTCACTGGGTGGCCTCCTTGACCTCTGCCCAGAACCCTAAGCAGCAGGGTGGGTTCTATCCCTTCGCAACCAGGGAACTGGAGGCCCAGACCCCACACTGAGCCAAGACCTTGTGCTCACTCACATGCGTGTGCACGTGCACACACACATACACGTGTATCACTGCACAGGTGTTCTTCCACTATGTGTATGGCGACAGGCATGTAGGAGAAGCTTCGCGGTGTTTGTACAGGGAAGGAAGAAATGAATGAATGAGTGTCAATGCCCCTCCTCCATCTGTGCTTCTGGGCTCTGGGAGACAGAATAGGGTACAAACCTCAAAACGAGGCTTTGGACCCTCGCTGTGGGCTGACGCCATCCCCTCATGCCTCGGTTTCCTCTCTGTAAAATGGGGGTGAGTTGCCACCTCCTGGACGGTCATACAGGTTCCATGAGCTCAGGTCGGCCAAGTGCTCACCAGGGCTGTGACAGTCCTTGTGTGTGACCAGCGTCACTCTGCTGAGAGCCCCTTGGGCTGAGGTTCCCCTGGGGGGTGGCCTCTCCAAAGGGATTGAGAAATACTTGCCGAGTTGGCCCATTTCTGGTTCCGCTGGGCTTCGGTTGTCTCCACGCTAAGCCACGGATTGCACAATACCGGGGGAAGAGGCCTGGCGTTATCACTGTTCTCAGTGGAGGCTCATCGTCAGGCGAGGTGGGCCAGGGAGCCCCTCCTCCTGGTCCTCAGGCCACCTCTGCAGTTCCACCCCCCTCTCCTGGACGCTCTGCTCCTGGGAGGGAGAGTGGGTGGCCGCTGGCCCCGGCCTCCTTGGGGAGTGGGGTGAGGGGCAGGGGAGGAAGAGGCTGTTGGTCAGCTCCCTGGTGGAGGTCGCTGCTTTCCCAGCCCCCCGTGAGCTCAGACATCTGTTCCAGATCCCTAAGCTGAGCCTTCCTGCCTGATAACAGGCGGCAGCAGGGTCTGGCGGCTCCTAGTCCTCCCTGAAGGCCAGGGAAGCGGTGGGCTGGGACCTGGTGGGGGTAAGGGTGTGTGGGGAGGAGGTGGGTGGTCATCACGGGTAACAGACATGGATCAGGGGGCTCTGGCCATGTGTTAAGATCCCCACTGAGTCAGCACCCCCACCCCAGCACAACTGTTCTTTTATAGACAGGGAAACTGGGTCTCTGAGGATGCAGTCAGTTTCCCGGGGCCACACAGCCATACATGGTGGACCCCAGGACCCTCCCTCAGTGGCACTGCACCTGGAATGCACACGTCCTGGGCAGATGCAGGTGAGGTGGGTCTGAGCTTTGCGTCTGGCTGGGGGAGGGGAGATCTCTTTGTCCACTTTGTTGGATTCCGAGAACCCCCTGGCGTGACGGGAAGACCTTCGCGTCTCTGTTCTCGGAGCAGGTGCGTTCTGAGCCCCTGAGAGAAGGGGAGTTGCAGGAGGACGGTGGGTGGGTGCCTGCCTGCCCACCCTCCAGCCCAGTGCCATGCCTGTGCCCAGCTGGTTTCGTGCATTCATTCAGGCACCTCCTGAGGCTTTGGGCCCCGCCCTCCGGAGGACGGGCTTGGTGCTCTGGGAACACACACAGGGAAGGGGCCTTGCTGGGATCTGCAGGATGGCAGGAGGTGACATAAGAATGAAGGACAGCCCTGGCTGGTTTGGCTCAGCGGTTGGAGCGTCGGCCTGTGGTCCAGAGAGACCCGGGTTCGGTTCCTGCTAAGGGCATGTACCTCGGTTGCAGTTTGTCCCCGGCCCTGGTTGGTCATGTGGGTGGCAGCCACTCGTTGTGTCCCTTCACATCGATGTTTCTCTCTCTCTCTCTTCCTCTCTCTCCCTCCCGCTCTATCTGAACAAAAAAATGGAAAAATGTCCTCAGGTGAGGATAAAAAAAAAAAAAGAATGAAGGACATTTCAAGTCAGGGGGACAGCACAGGGAAGCCAGGAGACCGCTTGCTGTATCCTCAGACCCGCACAGCCCAGATGGGCGGAGAGGACGGAACAGAGACGCTGGGACATGGCTGCTGGGGGTGGGGGGGGTTGGACAGCAGGAGGACCCTGCCGGCCCGAGGAGCCCAAGGACAGCTGGGTCTCCTGAGCTTTGCCTCCTGCGTCTTCCTGTCGAGTGGGTGGCCCTGTTTGCATTGGCTGGGACCAGCGCGGGGGGGGGGGGGGGGGGCAAGACCTTCTTCCTGCCCCTGGGGGTTCTGTCTGGAATGCTGGGCCCCAGGCAGGTCCAGGCGTCAAGGCAGTGGTCCTGGTTAGCCTCACCCACAGAAGCAGCCCCCGCATGACCCCCGGGCCAGCCGGCCTGGCCACCTCACCTCTCCTGGGCTTCCCAGGACTGACCCAGGAGCTGCAGGAGGGGGAAGTCAAAAAGCCCAGGAAGGAGGCAGATGGACTCTCATCGCCCCTCCTCACCTCCCACCACCCTGCCCACCTCCCACTCCTCCCGCAGCCAGCTGCCCTTCAGCAGCCGCGAAGGTCGCTGTCCTCCTGGTCTTTGCTTAGTGCTTGCGCTTGTCCTTAGAGTTTCTCTCCTGCCTTCCTCAGGCGACACTCTCTCATTCGCAAACAGAACCGTTGAGTGCCTACTGTGTGCCTGTCCCTGCACCAAGCCCGTGCCGCAGCTGTTGACTGCGCTGACTGCCCCTCCGCTTAGAGGTGACCCCAGGATTGGGGAGAGGGCCTGCCTGTGCTCCGAGCTGCAGAGGGACCCCAGCGCCCCGCACAGGCCCCTGCGCAGTCTGTCCCGTAAACGTAGGTCTGGCCAGTGAACGGACAGCGCTGCCGTTCAGTGGTGCGCACGCTGCGTGCCTGGGGCCGTTCCGAGGGCTTTGCAGGCGTTTACTTAGCAAACCCTATTATTGTTGTGCACTTGTTGCAAATGAGGAAACGGAGTCACTACATTCGAGTCACTTACCCAGTTAATTGGGGGGAGGTTAGGTAGTTTGGCTACGGCCCCAGAGCGGGTCCGTGGTGGAGCTGGGATGTGAACCCCAGCACATCGCCATGGCACCCTATTTCCCTGGGAACAAATGACCCCTCGGCCCTCCAGATACATCCAAACTCCTGAGCTGTGGCATTCACCAGGGCCCCAGCCTTCCTCCTGGCCCTGCCTGGCTCCTGCTCACCCAGGCTCCAGCCACCTCACCACCTCCCAATCCCCGCGCCCCCATCTCCATGCCAGCCTGCCACCAGCTGCCCCCTCCCTGACTTTGCCTGTTGGGACTGTGGTCAGTGGTTGGACTCCACCTGAGCCTGTCTGAACCAGCTCACTGGATTATGAACTTGCAAGTACAAATCACGCCTTGTCTGTCCTCATG